TCTGCTTCTCCCCCACCTCAGCATGATCGCCCGCATCTGCCACGGACTCACACCGCAGGCCGCCGAAACGCTCATTGTGGATTCTCAGTGAAATCTCTTCATTATTGTAAAGCTTCGCAATGCTGTGGCAGCGCCTTTCCAGATATACTGAACTGAACAGACTCCTTATATAATGTAAGTATTCAAGAAATGTAGTTTGACATACCTGAATCGGGGAGAAAATTCGGTGTTACTTGTGGACATCGCTAGCCCCTGGCACAATGTGGTGGTCTTCTGTCTCTGATGGGGAGTGGGCGATACAGTCTTTCTCTTTCTCAGTTTCTGTTTTCAAGCAGGTCCACTGCCAGCTTTTATTGCTGAAAAATATAGCTCAGCACACCCGGATTGTACTTTGCCCTTTGAGTGAATGAGTGATTGATTTTACACTTTTCACAAGCTTTTTACTTTGTACGACGAAACCGAAAGTCACAAACAGAGAAATCGATGGATAAACATAACCAAAATAGAGCGAGGCAAATTTAATGAGGAATAATACTAATAATACTAAAATATTATTATAATAATTATTATTAAATTCACAGAGGTATATAGATAAAGAGAAGAAGAGAGGACTTAGATCGACTGTGTTAGCACAATTCTCTATTCGACTACACCTGTCTCCTCAATGGGAAACTATTAGAGACACTTTTGAAATTGTAAAAACCATGCTCAAAGTTACCTTCATCAGAATTCTGACCACACTGTTAATAAGTTACCAAACATTCAATTGTAAGGCACAGTGCCAAGATGGATTGTTTTCACGCGCATTGAGAGGACTGGGGAATGGCTAATGAAATACTTATTTTACTTAGATTAATGGAACTAATCATGAACGTTAAAAATGAAAGCCCGTGATCTTGAAATCGGTTTTGAGCACAGTAGTCGAATCAACAGTAAACTAGGTAAACTTCTATTTTCTGGAGATTAAAAATATACTTAGGTCACGCATTTATGAGGAGACATCGGTATTTAATGTTATTTAATTATTTGAAGATGTTATCAATGAACAGGCAGCTAAAAGCAGTGGATGTAGTATACTTCGATTTCTAGAGGGTCCTTGCAAAAGTATCAATTCACAGTCTGATGACAAATATCGAATCGTGTGGATTTGTAGAAGAGATAGCGGAACGGATTAGAAAATGAATGGGAAACTGCTACCGAAGAGTAGAAGTTAAGCGTAACTTCTCATGCTGGGAAAATGCAGCAAGTGTTGTTCGACAGGGAATGGGTAAGGGAAGGTTTAGTTCGCCACATACGTAAATGAGTTGGATTCGGGGATAGGAGATGTGTTGTCCATTTTGCGGATTATACCAAACTGGGTCATGATAAATAATTAAGGAGCGTGCAGGATATCGTAGGAAGACATATACCGGTGAACAGGTTGGACAGACACTTGAATATTGGAGAATGCAAAGAAATTAATTTTGGCAGGAAAGCTAATGTAGAGTACACCTATGGTACACGGTAAGAACATAAGTGTAGAGGAGGGCAAAGAGATTTGGGGATTCAGATCCATAAATCTCTAACATTGGATACACAGATACAAAAGGCTATGAGAATGCGAGACAATAAAACTAAGAGGTGTATGTTGATTTATTTTCCCTCAGTCAGATATCAAACACAAGCAGGAACCGATCACCAAACTAAAGAATATTTAACTAAAACCGAGAGCTCCATGCATCCCAAATATTTACAAATGCTTAAAATATTTATTGGAATGTCCGCCAAGCGCCACTTTCTAATTCAATATCTCTAGAGAATAATAATAATAATAATCCTTGCATTTGATATAGCGCTTTTCACGTCGGGAGGACGTCCCAGATCGCTTCACAGAACACACTGTAAAGTGAATTGACTGTATATTTGTGAGCGAACGCGGCAGCCAATTGCACACAGCAATGTCCCACAAACAGTCGGAGATCGAAAATGACCAATTTATTATTTTATTTTTGGTTTTGGAGGGATTATTATTAGGCTCTGTGTGGAGTAAGAAAACTTGGCCAGCGTTTCGCCCTCTGCCTGGAATTAAACTCAGGTCTCTCGCTTGCAAAGCGAGTGCTCTAATTACTGAGCTACAGGACTCCACAACAGTGCTCAGACAGTAACCATTAGCGCACCTTTCGACATCAGAGTGTAATTATATAAGGCACAGGATGGCCTAGGATTGTGGCCCCTACCGTATGTGTTGGGGTAATGGTGGAATATAAAATTGTGAGCTGAGAGTGAAAGTGAGGTGAGCAAAGATTGAGCACAAAGACTGAGAGAGGAGAGATGTGTCAAGCAAGGCATGAGAGAAGGTCGGAAGAAATATAGGGTTATTGCGCATTATGGAGAACCAAATGCAGTCTGATTTTGCTGAGTCAAAGTTGTGGAAGATTAGGAGATGCGGGAGAGAGCAGGAGCGGAGAGAAACGTCGGGGTGCGGTAAGAACAGGGGGCAATAATCCTTGAGAAGTGCGCAAGCAACAGGAAGTCTAGAGGCAGAAGCCTGAGGGAAACTCTCTAAATGCAAATGGAAAATGAAAGGAGGGCGAACTGTGCAGCTGTAGCAGACATGAGAGGAGAAGTACCAGTGGCTGCGGAGGAAGAGGGGATGTAATGAGAAACAATACATAGGGGAGCAGAGAGCAGAGATGTGAAGGCAGAGGGGTGCATGAGTGGAGATGTAGTGAAGGAGACGTAGACATAAAAAATGTAATGAGAGCAGCATAGAAAAGATTAGAGAAGAGAGAATTGAAGGAGTTGGGGGAGGGAAGCAGTAGAAAATGTGAGAGAAGTGAGGAGGAGAAAAAGGAGAAAGTGATGAACAAAATGTTGGAGAAACGAGAGATTACATCTGTCTCACTTGTGCAATGCTGGTATTTTCTGTGTGAGCACTTCACAGAACGCCCAGCCGACAGATCACATTTGCATCATAGTGTTTTGTACCGCAATTGTCTGCCAGTAAACTGGACATCAAATGCAACCTTTATAATAGGCCTGAGCTGTTCTTCTGCATTCCCAATTTGAAAAGGCAAAGGCAGCCTAAAGGAATCACTGAATCGACAAAATGCTCATCATATAATAATGCGTAAAACAAAAGCTTTCATTCACCACCGTGCGTTATAGAGGGAAGCACAGCTGCCAAACCAGAAAAGGAACGTCCCACCAACCAGCCTTGTGGTGAATTAAGGTAGGAGATCGCTGATGCTGAAGGAAACTGAGATGGCGATGAGGTGAGCCAGAAAGTCTTTGAGCGTGAGAGAACAGTAATGAGGGAGGGAGCACAACAATTCTTGATGTTATCCTTACAACTGCGTATACTTTGTAGTCAACCTTGATTTCAACACTCTTGAGTTTCAAATACACAAGTTTTTCATCATTCAAATTGTAAGCCCTTCAGAAGGAGAGGGGTGCGAGTTTGATACACTGGTACCTTGACTCCAATTGCTGAAATAACCCAACGAGCAGACATGACTCGGTTTGCTGAAGGCAGTAAAACAAAGTTTGCTGAAACATCCTGAAGATTATTATAGAAATTACCGACTTTGCTTCTCAGATCATAACTTTAGATTACAGCGATTACCTTAACACACAATCTGGGGTCCGAGAGGCAACCTTCGCACAGTACTCTCTGGAATTATGGAAGTAAGAGGCGTACCTTCAGGGAGAGAGTGCACAACGCATGCCAATAAACCTTTCAATAATATCCATCTCTCTGCATGGAACTCTCGTTTAAGTTTATATATTCTTAAGCAATGTAATGGGATTCCGCATGTGTCAGATACTGGTTGACCAAAAATAAATAAATATCAACCCCTCATTTTTATACGTTATCATTTTGTACCGCTGTTGCATTTGAGTAGTCTCTTTTAGAAATTTGTGGATCTGAATAGCCCGATCTCTTTGCTCCTCTGTATATATTATGTTTCTAACATTTACTCAGAATATACTGTACTAGAGTTACTCAGCCAAAGTGAATTACTTTGCATTATATCGAAATTGCCAACTGTCTGCCGATACTGCTAGACTGATTATATCTTCCTGCGTTCTTCTGCAGCCAACTTCATTGCTTACTATGCCCCCAGTTTGGCGACATCTACAAATGCTGACAACACAATCCCCAAAACAAAGCTATATAATTTATGCGTATGGTGAACAGTAACCACTGTTACACAGATTTCTGTCTAACAACGTTAGCGGCCTCTTAAAAGCCTGTGGAGATATCCAGACTTTATATTCTTGGCTTTCAATTTTCTAAGCCTTCTTTAATCCGTTCTACTATAAATACTGCTACTCCACAAGACCCAATATTTAGCATCAGCCTATCATATGATACATCAGTCTCTCTGGAAATCTAGATACTTTACATGCTCTGCTTTTCCCTGTCTGCTTTATCGGTTACATCTTCAAATAATTCAATATGATTTAACACGAATGTTTTTCGTAACTCAATGCAACCTGCATAATTAAATTAGGATTCTCCAGAAAACTATTTACTTCTTCTTTTATTATAGTTTGCACACGTTGTCCACCACCGATATCAGGGTGACTGGCCTGCAGTTTCCTCGATTATCGACATTACCTTTTTAAAGTAATTATTACGTTGGCCATTCCCAAGTTCCCCCATTGTGTTTAAACACAATACATATTGGCAAGTTGCCCCTCCTCTTGGAAATTTTGTAAATGATTAACACTCAGGTTACAATTCTGATGAAGCACAATTTGAGCCGGATTTGTGCAATTTCAAGGAATTCTCTTAAAAGCCTCTTATTGAGGAAATATGTAGATTCGAGTTGAAACGAGTTCTCACACAGTCACTGTATTCCATCTCGTCTTCTCTTTTTCTTTCTCTCATGGTATATTTCTTCCTCCATCTCTTTTTCTCTTGATGACTTTCTGTTTCGATGCACAAAATAACAAAACTTCTGAGCAGTGTAAATGCACTCAGTCAGATATGCAATAGGGCAAAGTACATTCTGGGCTGTGTTCAGTTACGAGGCTCAACAGGAAAGCCAGCTATGCACCAGCGTGAGTACAGAGAGCGTTAAGATCTCTGTATTGCACAGTCGCCACGAGAGAGAGAGCAGACCCTCACCCTATGTCGGGGGTTAGATCTGTACCCAGGTGCCAGTGGTGACACACATATGTTCATAACTATTCAGGTATGTTAAACTATATTTCAGGATATACGGAGACTGCTGAGTACACTGTATCTGCCTGACTTCAGCAGCAACAGTGAAGCAGGTGCTTTACCACGTCTCTAAACCTGTGCTGGATGTGCGGACACAGAGCGTAAAGGAAGTTTTAGTGGGTCTCCAACCCAGACCTGGTTGTGTTGACGGAAAGAAAAGAGGGATGGTAGCACTGCCTGCGAACCAAGTTGCTGCTGGTTAATTGGTAATTGGTGAGAGAGAAACGAGGATGTGGTCCGAGGTGGCATTATCCGTGATAGACAGGATGTGGTGAAAAATGTAGCGTAGTAGGAGGTTTCAACGTGGGTGACGTGTCACCGGGGAAAAGACAAGTTTATATAAATATATGTCAATATATATCACAATATCAAGAATATATCATGCTTATCAATGTGCTCATCCAGAATGAGTCATGGATTGTAAGTGCTTTATTGGAGAGCGAACGGACATTTCGGAGGGAACTACGGATAGGTTGGGGTTGGGGGTGCGGATGGAGGAGTGTGTGGTATAAACAGGATTTGGGGTCGTGTGCGAAGAAGGATCGGGTACTTTTAGGAGCAGTTTGAGTTGGAGAGTGTATGGTGTGGCAGTAAGTACGGATAGAGCGAGCAATGCGACAGTTGGGGGTGCTACACTGTCACAACCAATGCAGGGAGGCACGATAGGCCCTAAGAACCAAACCCAGTCTGGAGCAGAGGGGGAGAATGGTGGAGCTCACGAGAGAGAGAACGCAATGAGGGCGTAGGGATAGAAGGACAGAATAGGGGTAATGGAGTGTGGGCATGTGAGTAGGACCATTTTCTAGGGGGCGACTTCCAGAATACACGATATGGCGTTAGATCAAATGCAAGGATTTGTATTAACAGGATTTGAGCTCTCAGACTGCAGTCCACATGTTTATGAAGGCTTTTAGCTGAATAATGATAATAATAATCTTTCAGTTTAATAGAGCACACGCTCATGTCGTCCAAACGTCTTGTGTTGCTTCACAGGATATTTTCCTTGAGTGTGTCTTCAGGGAAAGAATAAATTACTTCCACTGTTCAGATAATCAGTCATGAGAGTAAATCAGCTTCACAGTGGTCACTAAATGAATCAAAAGGAGGGCAGAGAAAACGTGGAATTCTCTGACACAATCAGTGGACTCTTAATTCCTTAGAATGTATATCAGTCTTGACATGGATGAAAATTAAAGACGGTGTGTGTATAATTTAGACTGGAAACATCATGGAAATATACCAGAGCAAACTTTGCGCACCAAGCGAGCTCTGCTTTTATCATCAGATAAGAAGGGGTTCAAGTCCATTGCCTTATCTCTTTACCGTTAATGTTTCGTATGTTCGCTTTGCATCACCTGCTCCTAATCTCAACTCACTGTTTATACAGACCACAATGAACAAAGTTCAAAAGCAGCGCATCCTTCCGATATGAAAGGCACTACGTCCCATGCAATGAACATTAGCATTACTATAATTGTTATGACATGGGATTCCATGCCATCTGGAGGGTAGATCTGGGACGCTACCCTGCCTGGGGGGTGCTATATATATGTACGTTGTTAATTTAATAGGTATTTGGCATGTTTTAGCGCTTGTTGTACTGTGCGTCGCTTGTCACAATGCACAGTTGGATTCAGACATGCGTGTTTTATCTTGGAAACAACGTCCACAAAGAGGCATGATTACATGTTTTGCAATCCTGTTTGATCGCTCACGATCAGCGTTGGATAATTGCTAGAAATCGTTTAGATATTCGCGAGGAACTTATTTGTTTGAAGAAACAATCGCTGTCCACTGGCGTTAAATAAGTCAGTCATTTAAAGTATAAAAAAGGAAGTTTTCACATTATAGAAGGAAACTGGAAAGATTCATTCGCAAGAAGTTAGATCTGAAAATATTTATGATGAATTATATATAGTGCAGAGTCATTTCTTCCAACCAATCAGTTCTTCCAACCAATCCATGTACATATTCATATTCTACAAATTTTCGCCCATTCCTTACTGTTTCCTATATCCCTGTAATTCACAGAAAATAATGGAGATGTGTCGGGAGACTCAAGAGAGGCAGATGCTACTATTGGTCAAGGCTGAGACTGATACATTTTTTAAAAAAATAGAGGGAATAGGGGATACAGGGAGAGTTCAGGTAATTAGAATTAGGTCAGAAGATCAGCTATGGTCTGGTCGAATGGCGGGGCAGGATCGAGGGGCCGAATGACCTACATCTGCTCCTAATTCTTGTGATGTTACGTTATTATTTTTTAGAAAGTTTAAAAAAGTGACCCAGGAAACTACAAATCAGTCGGTTTTACTTCCATTGAGGGTAAAATTATGGCGACTCTTATTAAGAAAACATGCAGGAGCATCTGGATAGACATCACATCATAAATGATACCCAATGTGGGATCAGGAAGGGAAGGTCTTTCCAAACTAAATTAATCGTTTTGTTTGACGGTTGAACAACGGATTATGACGCGTCATGCTGCCAATGTGAATTACTTTGCAATAATTAAAAATGTCCATCGGTCTGCCCACATGCTATCCAGATTATGTATTCATGCATTCTTCTGCAGCTCTCTTCAATGCTTACCATGTCCTCCAGTGTTGTCGTCCGCACATGTTGAAGATACAACTACTAATGTTGAAGCATTTTATTTATGCTTACAGTGAACAGTAACAGATCTTACACAGGTCTCCGTGGAAAACTACTTCCTGCCTCTTCTCAGATTGAGAGGATATCCTTATCCACTATAGTTGGTTTTTATTTTTCTTTAGTCCAATCTGGTATTTATCCTACACCTCCAGACGCCCCGCAAAGATCAATGCTTTGGCTTCAAATGTCTACAGTATACGTCATTGACTTACATGAGTAAAAAGAGCTTAATGTAGCTAAATTCTCGATCGATATAAAGCTGAGTGGGAACATAAGCTATGAAGAGGACACAAGGAGAATGCAAAGCGATATAGATAGGTTAAATTGGTGAGCAGGAAGGTGGGAGTTGGAGTATAATGCGGTGAAGTGCGCAGTTATTCTCCTCTGCGGAAAAAATAGAAAAGCGAATTATTTTCTAGAGTGGGAGAGACAAGATGGCGTAATACTTAATGGGATTTAGATGTCCTTGTACATCATCCGGGGAAAGTTAATGTGTAGGTATAGCAAGCAATTAGGAAGGCTTATACAATTTTAGGGTTTATTACGAAGGGGCTCGAGTACAAGAATAGAAGATATTGCTGAATCTGTATAGGGCCTTTGTGATACCGCACGTGGAATATTCTGTGCAGGTTTGGTCTCCTTAATTAAGAAAGGATATACTGTACTTAGAGGGAGTGCAGTAGGTTCACCGGTTTGGTTCCTGTGACAAAGATATTCACCTGTGAGGAGTAGTTGAGTAGGAATAGTAGGAGTAGTTGCCGAAAAGCCTGATACTGTTCCTATTTCTTATGTTCTGATGTTATTATGATATTTGTCATTAGCCTCGCATGCGGTATTTTAGCGAAGACCCTATTGAAATACAGGTAGCATAAATCCACTGGTTTCCTGTTTCACCAGTTACAGTTTCAAATAATTCAATAAGGTTTATCATGGATGTCTCTTCGTAACTAATTGACATCAAACCTCCTGCACTAGAACCAATATATTTTAACATTTTAATATATTTTAATATATCTTGTATTTAAGGTGAACTACAACATTCTTACACGGATATCGTTGAAATATCATTTCCTCTCTCTTCTCTGCATGATAAATTATCCATAACTTCTACTCTAGGCTTTCAGTTTTCCAACTATTCCTTACTCCATTATGATATATCTTCAACGAATCCGCACGCCCAGATATTTATCATAAGCTTCACGTGTGGTATTTTAGCAAATTTAATCTGTAAATCCAGATACTTTACATCTACTGCTTTTCCCTCTCTGCTTTATCAGCTACACCTTCCAACAATACAATCAGTTTGATTATGGATGTCTCTTCGTAACTGCACTTCGTGACTAATTATATTTCAATTGTCTGGATGTCTCTTCGTAACTTCATTATATTTTAATTCTCCAGAAAATCAGTTGCTTCCCCTTTGATTATAAATTGCAATACCTTGTTCGCAATTTATGGCAAGATGACTGGCTTACCCTTTCTTCGATTTAATCCACCAACCTTTTTAAAATATGTATTAAATTGGCCAACCTCTCTCCACTCAGTGTGCTTAGGCACAGTCCATTTTGGCACGGTGTATCTTCCTCTGTGAACTTTTGAAATGATTAACAGTGGGGTGAGAATACTAATGAAGTTAACAGTGAACAGGAATTGTGCATTTCGAAAAGATTTTGTCATAGTCTACAAATGAGGAGACATTTGGATGCCTTCAGAAACAAGTACTCACACAGTCACACTATTCCCTTTCCCATACTCTTCTTCTCACCAGCGATTTATTGCTCTAAATCTGTATGTTCCTTTGTGACTTTCCATTTTAATACACAGAGAAACAAGTCTTATGAACAGCATAATCATATTAACTCAGCCATCCAAATGGGAACCGTACAGTGTGTTCAGCTAAGAAGCTCAACAGTACAGCCAGCAGTTAAGCAGCGTAAAAACAGAGGATGAGAGTGAGAGAGAGTGTGAAAGGCAGCGAGAGAGAGAGACAGACAGAGAGAGCGAGAGAGAGAGAGAGAGAGAGAGAGAGAGAGAGAGAGAGAGAGAGAGCGAGAGAGGGAGAGAGAGAGAGAGAGAGAGAGAGAGAGAGAGAGCGAGAGAGATAATGACAGTGGAATTGATTTATCTATGAATTTTATGTCACCAAACAGTAGGCCTGAATCATGTAGAAGATTATAGAGCCTTCAAGTGACGAAATATTGAAGAATATGTGTGTGTGTCGAAGACAGAGATTAGACCGTGGAGTCATAGACAAAATAATGCCAGTGCAGATTTGATAGACCAAGAGGCCCAAGTGTCTCTGAGCAGATATAATGG